CCCCCCCCCAGCAGAGCGATGCACGTGTGCGTGTGTGCTAACGGGAACCAGCGCCCCCTCACGCTCTCACGGGCCAGTGGCTCAGCGTCCAGGGCGGGAGGGGCACAGCCGTGCGTGTGAATGTGAGGGGCGCAGGCTTCGGGAGGCCGCCCGCCTGTGGTGGGGCCCCCAAACATGGGACCGCGAGACAGCCCTGGTTCCTTCAGACCCCACGGGTTCCTGCCACCCCAACCCCCTTCCGACACCCCCACCACCAAGGTGTGGATTTTTGCCGACACGGTTCACTCAGTTATCACGATATTTTATATAATTCACGGCAGTGCCCAAGGCTACCGGACTTTATAGACGTACAAACCCTGTCACCATAAAGACTAACGTTCAAAGCTGGCCTGGTAACTGTTCAGATTCTGAGGGAGTTCGAGAATAAGCAGCAGTCAACATAAAAGCGTTGTAGGTATCAATCTTAAAGCACTTCCTGACGAAAGCCTGAGTTTCTGCAAAAGTGACCAACACCGCTTTGTCATACCCGTCACCTCTTTCACGATCTCTAAGTTTACAGCTACATGAAATAACAGGGTCTGAGAACCCAGTTCCCCCAGATTTGGTCAGACTGGCACCTGAATGAAGCAATCGGTAACAAGACAGCTGCCCAATGACTCGTGTCCCCTCCGCCCTGCACTGGGGTCCCCGAGGCAGGGGGACAGGTGCGCTGTAACTCAGACGGGCCTCTCACCTGGCTGATGCCCACACGGACCCTACCACTTGCATTCTGGGCAGATAAAGTTCTCCACACTGAACCTTCGCGATATCCTTGCAATTCTAGTATTATCGCCATTAAAACAAACAAAAATACTACAGCTTAAAAACACCACTTACGTCATCATCAGTCATGATTTATTGACGGAAACTTCAACTCGGTGATTTCAGAGTCCGGGGAGCTGCTTCCACTCCTGTCGCTGTAGGTGTCCCTGTGAAATTCAGATGGTTTATTCGTCGTCTCCCACCAAACACACGCTTTCCTTCTCTGTTTTTCTAGCCACCATCACCACAGGGACACCTGCCTACACACAGCAGGAATCAGACGCTTTCCTGCCTTATGTATTTAGCATGGAGCTGTAGAGGGATTTTCTTCTTCTAGTTACAAAAGATATATGTTCGACTTACACTGTGGTCCTGAAACTCTACCCACCAGCTCAGGGTGAGGATAAAGTCGCAGCGGGGCAGGAAATCCACCAGGGCTGTGGCCGCCAGCCCATGAAAGCCAGTTCCCCACGGACCCAGGGTCCTACTGCTACATGGGATCCCGGAGGCCAGGTGCTACGGTGAGGGGCCCCGGCCACC